TCTGTCTGGTTCTGACTCTCTCTGTTTTCCCCTTCTCCATTTAAGGGCACCTGTGACTCCATGGGGCCCACCTGTGTGATCCAGGTTGCGATCAGCTGTTGGCAATGTGTGTCCACCTGCAACCTCAGCCCTGCCTTGTCACGTGGCGTAACACATGCACAGATTCTGGGGACTGGGACATATACATCTTCGGAGTTTCCTTATTTTGCCTACCACAGAACCCTTGAATGACTGTTACCTAAGTAGACAATATGAGGATAGGAAAATCAATTGCCACCAAAACCAGTATTTACCAAACAAAGAGAGATGAGTTTGCATTGGTGGTTGGTTGGTTTTTCAGGAATGCCATCCATATGGAAAAGAGAAGGTGGGAGCTGAGAGGAAGGGTCTGCCCTTTCAGCCTGTGCGATGAAGCTGGGATGAGTTTGAAATAGAGGCTCTAGTTTCCCTTTCGTGTTTCTTGACTCTGTGTTTATGGCTGTGCGTGGTTACACATTTTTCTCATAGTCTAAAATTCTGTCTTGTAGAATATAATGTATGTTTTAAAGAGAAGTTGTAAACTGTATGTTTTATAATTCAACTTATTTCTGCTCACAGGCAATTTTGGTTTGCGGTGTGAAGACATGTTATTCAGAGTTGCACTAAGTAACTTAAGGCGTACACTATTTATTAGAAAATGTCTGGTTAGCATAATTTTGGCTACGATGTTCCCTAATGTGCTGACTTTAGTAAAATGGTCCATTATAGTCTATGATATGGCATGGGAATGGACTTTTTGGCTCTACAGATAAGAAATCTTTAAGAAGTTGTCTTTGACACAATCAGATAGCCATTTATGTAGTACAAAGCCAACGTTTTTGGTTATTTTTAGAGAGCATTTTATATCATCACAGTTAATCTTAAATTTTTTTCTTTCTCCCTTGGAATAAGTATAGGTGATATCAGACAATTAAGTCTACAAACTCATCCTAGAATAACTGCCATATACCTCAGTGCTGAGCGTCACTGTGATCACCAGACAGCCAAGGGGAGTACTTCGGAGGTGACTGGAGTGATATTTAGCAATGAGGCATATAGAACTTTTCTCTAGGATAAGTTCACAAACTTAATTGTCAGGCTTCGTACAATGACAGCCTTGAATGTCATTCCAGAAGAGGAATCCCAAAATTGCTAGAAAGGGTGGACTAGGCAGTGGCCTTGGCTCCTAGCTTCCCAAGGAGAGTATTTTGAAGGCAATGGTGTGACATTCACCAGTGAGGTATATGGCACTTTTTCTAGGTCGAGTTTGCAGACTTATTTGTTTGATGTCATAGATCTGTCCTCTGTTATATAACCTAGTAGCTACCATCCACAGCAACCTATCAAGCCCTTGAAATGTAGCTAGTCCTAATCGCAGTGTGCTGTAAGTACAAAATAAATGCTCATTTTTAAAACAGTCCAAAAAAGGAATATAAACTATCTTAGTAATTTTTATATTGACTTTGTGTTGAATACTACTTTTGAAATAATAGGCTCAATAAAACATTAAAACTACTTTTTGGCTACTGGAAAATTTAACTTTTCATATACATATGGCTCAGACCCATTTGATGCATACAAAACATTTCCAGCCCATGACAGTGAGAGAGCCCATCACTAAAGAGAGCAGAATTTAACTGGCAGTAATCAGTGGCTTGTGCACATGTGTGTAATTCATCCCACAATGGAAGCAAACTATGAAGGTACAAGTTAAGAAGAAGAGGGACTTTGTTTTGCATTCTTAAAGTTATCAGATCCATCAGAAGACCCTTCCTGTGTACTGTGACCCTGTCTGGGGCCGCAGATGCACGTGTGGTGTGAATTTCTGTACCTGGTTCCCTGGAGTGAGCTTATGGTCAAGGTTCAGATAGGAATCCAGCAAAGCTTAAACAGACTTACGTGGTTCCTGTGATTTTTCACACAAACCGATGGAGGGTAAACCATGCTCCATCAATTTGTAGAGTTGCTTTAAGATTAAAAAAAAATGGGGATTTTAAATAATCTTATTTGCTATACAGACGGATATGGGCCCAAGAAACTTAGGCTTACGGTTTATTTTACAATAATCTTTAACATGTTCAAGTTCGGGGAATATCTGACTCATGAATGTCTGGTTATTTGAAGGTTCAGTAGAAAATCCGTTTTGTTTATATTTATTCTAAAACGAGTTAGTCTGATTTGTTACATTAGTATAAATAGTGTGACAAAGGAAACCAAATCTCTGGTAATTGAGGGTTTTGTACTGTCTCATTCATTTTGAGACTGAATTCTCACATAGAGAATTTAAGATATCGATAAGCAGACATAGGAAATGGAATTTCAGCATATACTGGACTGTATAAATAAATTGCCTTTTTGGTGGAATAGATACGTAATATGTCTTTTAAACTTTTCCAAGGCATCCCTTAAAGGCATCTAGAAAACCTCTTGTATTTTATAAAATAGGTTTAAGTTAGGGTGACCAGACGTCCCGCTTTTGGCGGGACAGTCCTGCTCTTTAACAATTTGTCCAGTGGCCCATGATGTTTTAAAAAGTCCCGATTTTTGGAAAGAATGCACCAACGGGCGGGAGAACAGGAAGGGAATATACGGTTTTCGGCTGCCATGTGGCTATTT